GACGGGTTTCGAATTAGGAGGGTGTTAAAATCAAAATCGCACACACTGTACCCATTCAAAATTCAAAATATAAAATATAAACAAAATTTTGCCATGTAATGATAGACTATCATTGATAGTCACTATCGAAGTTTGCCAAATCCCAAATCGGCAAATCATCTCATGATGTTTTGTTATGCCTTTTTATCTCTTGTTATTTCCTCTTTGTTTTGCCATTATGTTTATTTTCAGTTCAATAAACTTTCTATTTTCGTCAGTTCCAGTTTATCGGAGGAAGTTGTCATTTTATCATTATGTTTTCTGACAATTTTTATCAGGTGGTTCACTACTGCTGCGAAGTATCATTTCGAATTCGTTTCAGATTGTAAAGTAGTATGATGATTAATTGGTATCAACAATCAACATAGTATTGAGTAGTGAAATATATTGTGACTCGTGGAACTCTTTGGAAAATTTCTATAAATTCAAAAAAGATACTCTTATAGTTTTTGGATGTATGATAAATTGATATTCATCATACAGGACGTGGGAAGAAACTCTGAATTGAGGAAACCTAATCACGAATCTGCGATTGAGGTCTATAAAAAAACAAGTTTCCATCGTTCAAGTTTGAACCCCTTGATTGGGTGAAAGTATTGAAAAGGAATATTCCCAGATATATTCATGAATACAAAAAATTGGATATATTTATTAAGAAATACATTGAGAATTCGCATTCTCCATGTGATGAAAATATTAATTCTTTCTCGGATTATTCAACAGTAATCAACTACTTTCCTGGCTATATGCCACGACGAATATTGAATTTCATTTATTGAACACACAAGATAAGAATTTGAAAACGAAATCTTCTGAAGTAGAGAATTTGCATTTTCCTTCATATAAAGATGTGCATATAATATTATTCTGAATATTCAACAGAAAACAACTACTTTCCTGGCTATTTGCCACGTCGAACATTGAAACTAAACTTAGGCACAAAAAATTTCAAGAAGAAAATAAGAGGATTACTCAATCAACGCAAGCTTTTTTCATTTGACAAATTTTAAAACTATAACTTCTAATAAAAAACTAATTTTAACAGAACTTTTAGGTGGTACAGTGTCTGAAAACTTGTATTACTATATATTTTCCTGTAATCTTGTATTATTATATATTTCATCTTTTCGTAACAGTAATTGAATTATGTATTATAATTTGGTGTGTGTTAATACATTAAAAAAAGGCCAGTAGATACCTAGTAAATCAAAAGTTAAGATATGGACATGTGAGCTGTTTCGATCAATAATGGATAGTTTCGACACAAAAAATTTCGATTTTGAACACCCTCTATCTCTGTAATCATTTTTGCTAGACTCCTAGTGTGATTGATATATTAATGAACTCCGCTCTTCAGGGAGAATCTGATATTGCAATAATATACAGGGTGATCCATTTAAAAGAATGAGGTTGCTAGGACTTCTTAATAGGAGTGGCAACGTCGCAAGTTCGCAAATATTTCAGATCCATAGAACAGGATGCGAAGTTTTCTGAAAAATCTTTAGTTTCGTTCTCCATAAACGTCTAACCTACCGTCGACCTTGAGTCACCCTGTATATCCACCTACTTATTACTTGGTACAATCATCTAGCTTGACCAGCAAATCTTCCAAACCTCAAGGTTATCAGAATGTATTATTCGGGTTTATAAGGTATAATATGAGGAAGGAAAATATCTCTTCTGCATGAAAAAGGAAAGCACTTTCAGCCTAACTTGTCCTTAATGAACCTTTTTTCTGAAAGGTATATTTTTGTAGAATTAATTGAGTGAAAAAAATTGAAAACAAAATTAACGCCTCGCAGCGGGATTGAACCCCAGTCATCACAGTGACAGAGAGATACACAGATCACTAAGCTATCGCTTTACTCTTAGTAGTCGTTGTTTCTCAATATAAAGAAGGAAGAAATAGCATGTATCATGTTTGAGAAATTCACTGGTCTAGCTAGACTCTTGTTTACTTGGTTACAGTGTTGCCAACTCAGTGGATTTCATACTAGAACTGGTGGTTTAAGTTTTCGTTTTGTAACAAGATATGACATCTAGTTGATGGTGATTATTTTGGTAAATTACCTCAAATAAATGCTGAAATCTGGTGATTGATGAGCTTCATCCAAAATTCCCCTTGTTTTATGAAAAAAAGCTAATTTTAACAATGTAAAACTAGGGAAGAGTTTTCAGTGAAATACTGGTTTCAACTGAAATCACTTTCACACGGTTATATCCACATTGTGACTGTTCTTTGTAGGATATTAAATGTTGTTTTCATAATTTCCTTGTTTTATACAATTATGTCATTGATGTTATGAAGCATACATATTTGGTTCCTTTCGTTTTCCGTTGAAAAAAAAATGTTTCACATTCCTTCATCTTCAAGCCAATCAGACCCGTTGACCAGCTAGACTTCCATACCAGAAAATCACTAGATTTGCATAACTTTTCGCCTGCGGCGCATTTTTTTTCGATGCCTTCGGGTTTGGTGGTTTCATGGTGTTTCTTCGATGGCCATTTTGCGACTTCAGAAGATCTGATTGGCAATAACACTGCTTAAGCCGTATTACAGCACTTGCTTTCGTACTCGTGAAATAACTTTTCGAAATGCCCAAGTCCTTTTTTAAAAAGATTTATTTTCGTTTTTCTACAACTGACTTGATTCTAACATGATACAAAACTAGATTCAGACTAACTTCTCTAGAATGCAACTGGCACCTATATTTATAATCAGCATTTTCTTGGAATCGGCAATGGGAACCATGAGATATTTCGTGCGGCATTTGTCATCTTTGTGAGTAATAGCCATGTCAATGTGTTTTTTGAATAATATACATAGGTACTATTTGTGTAGTGTAAGTTATTAGACAAAAACTTCTTCTTCTAGTGGATTTTATCATGAAGTCAGCTGAAATTGAGCCATCATATTCGGAAGACATCCTAATTGAGATGAATGCAAGGAAATGGGAATTCTAAATTGAAGACCACTTAAGATTCCGCGTAGTCGTTTCGCTAATTAAGTGGCTAAATGGTATAAAATTACTAAAATTATGAGCAATTTGGTGGGTGAGTAAACGGGCCACGTTAAAGCAGTTTTAAAACTGGCTATAACTCCCCTGTCAAAATAAAATTGCAATTTGGATTCAAATGAGGATGGAGAAACATATTTGGAACTTTTTTATTGCATGTACTGGTGCCAGAGACTTCTCAAGCTTTTTGAGGGTGAGGGTATTTAATTGCAGAGAAGATTTATCCAATATAACTCTAAAAATAAAGTTCATACAGTAGGTGGAACGATGTTTTTGAAAATGTTTCACAGAAACCTACTATTGGCAATACAGTTGATTGATTCAATTGATTCACCAATTCAACTGCATATGTTCGATATGTAGGGAGTAAACTGAAAACAGCTTCGGGAAAAAAATCTACCGAATCAAAATATTTTCAAGTTCTCAAAATGACCGGTAGGGGGGTGAAATCACTATGATACAACGAGAAATTCGAATTATCTTAGAAAATCACTGTGAAAAGTGATTTTTTTGTTTTGAAATCAGAAAGATCATTAATTTATTGTTGTGTTGGTACCTAGATTTTTTTCGTATCTCGAATAATAATGGTGGGGGAAGCTTGTGAACAAAATATTTTTCAAATTGCTGTATCTCTTCCATACCCCTTTTCCAATTTCGATCAACTTAGGATCGTTTGGAAGATAATTTCACACTCATTCAAAAAGTGAGTTTGTTTACGGTCGCTAGTTCATAACTTGTCTCATAGAGGGCGTCGTTTACCGACTATTATGGGCTTTTAATACTTTATTTCACCCATTTTTAACAATATAAGAATAAATTTGAGCAAACTAATAACTGATATCTGATGCTTTTTGTTACAAAAAACAGAGAGTCATCACGCGCTAACATTCCTAGAGAGCGAGAGCTTTTTTCTTCACATGAGTACTAGAGTCACAGACAACACGTTATATGTCAATCAACGACAGCACCTGTTCACCATACGTTGCCAAGTCCTCAGCATTGCTGCCAGTTGCCACGTTGCCAGCTCGTACTTATCCTTCAAAGTTCTGACGCGGCACCAGAGTTTGCTTCCGCGGACGTCTATTGGTCGAGACGGCCACACTCTTAAATTTTCCCGGTTTTTCTCGGAAAATTCAAATATAATGATACATGTTTGCATCAGTGGTCTCGAAGAGCTTAAGAATGCCTACATTTTGGCGCAAACCGCAATCCGATATTTCCATTTGTCTTGGAGTTATTGGCAAATAACTAATTTTCCATTGGGAAAGTATGCTAATTTCAAACAAATCAACTATTTATTCACTTCCATCGTGATATCTGTGGGAATAATTGAACGTCAACCATGCTAGTTCCTAGGCAACCCTCATATTGAGGTAGTTGGACTGTTGTGAATTTGAGATTCATAACATCAGGACATGTATCTTGATTTCGGAAAAAAATCAACTTCCCAGATATCATAATGTCATTCATAGAACGTTCATAGGATATTCTCTGAGATTATATGAACATTCTCACAGTACAATATGATACAAATATTCTATAAATATAGTCCTGGTATATTATGGGAGAAAGAAGGAAATTTTATAAAGCTAACTCCGGTGGAGATGAGAACCTACTCTTTTTTTATTGCATTTTCACAATCCTTACTCCTTTGCCACTGCACTACGAACTTTATTGAAAAATCTAAATCATAATCCAGGTCCCTTTACAGAAAAAAACTAGAACTTCTTTCACCTATATCAAAGAAGACACCCTGTATAGCAGAATTTCATGAATCTGTTTTAATATCTTGAGAGAGCGAAAGAAAAATGAGTAAGCGCAAGACATAAAGGGCTCTTGAAAATAAGATTTTGACAAATTGAAATTTCGTAATTTCGATGATCGAACAAATCTCAATAATTAATGTCTGATTTGTTAGAAAAAAATCATTCTTTATTGATATCACTATATACAATTTGACTTAAAATTCTTGAGAATCCTCTGGAAACACAACACCCAGTTCTTTCCTCATGAGGTCCATCAATCTGGCCAGCTCTGTTGATTCATCATGAGTTATGTTGCTACACTCAATCAGTCCTGAAAATCACATCCCTATTCAATTACCAATATAATGTTTTGAATTCGAATTCCATTCCGTCTCAACTAGGAAGATGAATGTAGCAAGTGTGTAAAGTGGTACTTTTTTTACGAGTAGGAAATGTTGACGCACGACGCTGAAGACGCACGTATTACGATATTTTTCCTACAACTGTCGAAGAAGAGGACTTATGATGTTAATGATTGAATGATGTTTCGTAATTATCATCAAGTACATTTACTCATTTCATGTCACTTTCGATTCTGATCAAACCGTACATGAGATGCGAGCATATTATTATCTATAATACCATACCAAGGCAAATACGCGCGGATATCGTGGCGCCTTCTTCCCTCTCCCATCTCTATTTTACTGGCACTCCATACGAAATACAAAGTCGGTCGCCTTGATTTGTTCGCTTGCTGCCTTGCTGAATCCCGTAAAGGAGCACATAGACTTCGTTGTTTGTGGGCTTTTTTTTCGTTGAACAAGTGTGTTCGAACGAATATGACGCAAAACCGAAGTGTGTGGTGTGTGGCTAGCGAAAACGACCATTTTGCAGCACATACCTCGCCTAACAACAACCGTGTACTTCTTTTCCACTTTTCCGTGAAATTATAAAACAGTTTTGTGATATTGAAAAATTGTACACAGGAAATATATGGAAAAAGTGCAGCTTTTTTGACAGTTGTAGGAAAACAAGTATTATTACAATTGTTTACAACGTATTGATAAACATATGTTTCCAAAAGTGTTGTAGGTATACACTTGTGTAATAATTCCTTCGATACGCAATATTGTCGATGAGAAATGGTTGCATAGAGGATTTATAAATGAGTTATATATATTTTCCAGTTATTAAACTATTGTAGGAGCATCAGTGAAACATTACACAATATAGGTGATATGATTTTGATGATACAAACATCATCATGAAACTGTTTCATTGTATAGTGTTCTGAATAGAGCAAAAGCATTGCATAATATTACTTCATGTTCAATCACTGAAATAGCTGTTTATCAATTGACGCTATTACGTGAAATTTCATAGAAATCTCTTGATATCGAAATATGGTATGACATTGGATGTTCCTGATTATTAACACATTATAGTATTCAATCGGCCGCCCAATATGATTTCAACAGTTTCATTAGATTTGCTGGATTAAGCAGTTCTATACAGGGTGATCCACGGTGGATGGCCTATTAGAAGTATCTAGAGAACGATAAGACAGAACATCCTGAAAATTCGAATGCTTTGATAATTGAACATTCTCTATCCGTCTAAAATATTTTCATCGATACAGTGTTGCCACTTCTATCAGAAACAACTAGCAACTTCGTTATTGTAAATGGAGCACCCTGTATTTCATTGCATTTCTAGATTCTTCCTGGAGAGCTGATTTCATCAATGCATCACACTTGGGATCTATCAGGAATGAAAACAAAGATATAGGGTGTTCAAAATCGAGATTTTACAATTTTAGGATTTTTTGTGTCGAAACTATTCATTATCGATCAAAACGGCTTACATGTCCCTATCTCAACTTTCGATTCACTATCTACTGACAATTTATTGGAACTGATACAGGGTGATCAGAATTCTGAATTTTGAAGCACCCTGTATTTTTCCAATTGAACTCCAGTAGATAGTGAATTAAAAGTTAAGATAGGGACATGAAAGCCGTTTTGATCGATAATGAATAGTTTCGACACAAAAAAATCATAAAATTGAAAAATCCCGATTTTGAACACGCATTGATGAAATCAGCTCTCCAGGAAGAATCTAAAAATGCAATAAAATACAGGGTGTTCCATTCGAAACAACAAAGTTGCTAGTTGTTTCTGATAGAAGTGGCAACACTGTTCAATTATCGAAGCATCCCAATTTTCAGAATGTTCTGTCTTTTCGGTCTTCAGTAACTTCTAATAGGACATCCACCGTTGATCACCCTGTATATATAGAAGATGAATTACCAACTGAATATTTTTCAGCAAGACTTGGCCCAAGTGTTTCTCAATTCCCTTTAATGTTACAGTTTTCTTATTCTCCTATTATTCGATTAGGTAAGTACTTATACCTGCTTTGATGCACTGTCTGGCTGCCTCAGCCTCATAACTCAATCCAGCACTTTGGTGATGAAGAAATGGCACTGAACTCTCAGGAAGGGGGTACTCCTTCGTACCTTCTGGAGTTATCAGTTTGGTGGGACACCAAAAGTCTGGAAGCTTCAAAGTACCTGCAAAGTCGAAAGAACGTATCACTTTCTATCTTAATAACACCGAAAAAATTTAAGGCGTGTTTTCTTGTGACATTTTAGCAAATAAAAATCACATAATCATGTGTCCTAATATGCTCCGTTTTTGAGATACAGGATGTTGAAGTTGGAAGTATCAATGAACAGTTCATTGTACCAGTATATCACCTGACGAAGCTACTGTGTTAGCGAAACATGTCGTGTGTTTGAAAATTTTGTGGAAATCTTATCGTTTGTGAAGTTTTCACATTTATATCTGCTTTATTTATATTGAAAGATAGAAGATTCGAGTCACACCATAACTTGATCTTTCTAACATCGACAGATATGTTATTCTTCAGATCTTCTTCTGTTTTACTGTGCCACAAAATCGTGGTATCATCTGCAAAGAGAGTTACATTACCAGTCAAGTCAATATTTGTGAGATCATTAACATATATCAAAAAAAGTATGGGACCCAATACAGATCCTTGAGGCACTCCAGAATTGATCTCAATTTGCAATTAGTTAATCGGGACGCAAATCGTCGAGGTTAGCTATGATCTCGAGACAGGAATCGAACTTCCTACCACTTCCCAACCTTCAATAACGTCAGTGATGACTACATTACATATATGGTTGTAAATAAAGGAGGATTTCTATATAGAACAGATGTTTTATCACTATTAGACAGTTCATCATATTTAGGCGCAATAAAAGGCATCCGCACTAATTATGGAAAAGTATTAGAATGTAATTAGGTCAACTGATCCTACTCAAAGAACTAGTTGTTATGACTGTTATATGAGATCTTGATCATTCAATTTGCCCTCTATATAAATATCTACATAATATTAAATGGCCCGTTCATTCCAGCTGAGTACGTTGATCAGTTAACACATATTGACTGAAATAGTATGCTTATTCACTATTATCTTCGGATAGGAGTGACTGAATTCCGCCCTTACATATTGTCTGATAAATTTCGTGTACCATCGAGGTTTTGATTATTTTGTAATTCGGGCAATATGAATAAAGACATATTATCATTATAATTATCATTATCATTATTATTATTATTAGTTATGTAAGTATCAAGTTCACTGTTCAGTAGTCCCAAATACAGAAAGGAATATTCCCCTTGCCACTATTTAAACTCAATCAACTTTGAATAAACTTTCTCTTTTCAACAACAATCTGCTAATACCCAGAAGTAGTTTTCACCTTTGGTACCAACGACAGTTGCCTCATTGGGTAGTGCCACTCTCGCCGAAGCACTGACCACAGCCATCTTGCCATTGGGATAGGTTATGATAGCTCCACAGGACTCGTCGGTTTCGTGACTGTTCAAATGGCCGTTGATCACTACTTTGATCGGTTTGAGACCCCTGAAGACGTACTGCTGGAACTGCAGGATGTAGATTCCCAAGTCTAGGATTGCACCTCCTCCCATATCTAGTTTCCTGGAAGTAAAAATAAATAATTGGGGATGAATATGAAATGGGGAGAAATACCTGCATATATAACTTACGTCACTCTGTCCACCTGTTGCAGAGCAAATCCAAAATGGACGGAAGCGAACAAAACATCTCCTATCTCCCCGGCATCTATGATTCGTCTCATCTCCTCGTAGGCGGGGAAAAATCTCGACCACACTGCCTCCATGAGAAACAGTTTCTTCTCTCTGGCGATGCTGAACAGCTTTCTTGTTTGCTTCTCGTTCATTGTGAATGGTTTTTCGCATAAGACGTGTTTCCCGTGCTCCAGCATCATTTTCGCAGTCTCAAAATGCTGCTTGTTCAGGTTACCAATGTATACGATATCTGTGGAGGAAGATAACCTTGCTCTCAATTTGTAAAATCCCTATGAACAACCACGTTCCATTCACCATTGCTATCATTACAGTAGGAATATTAAACCATAACCCCATAAACGTCACAACAAGCTACCTTCTAGTGGCTTCCACTGATAAAATCGATTTATGTCTTAGTATCTCATCTGATAATTCTCAGTGTTGCTTCTTCGAAGGACACTAGAGAATGTTAGGTAGCTAAGGCACCATCCGCTTATGACATTTCTCTGAGGCTGATATTCGATATCCTTGATTCTACAGGCCTTTAATTGGAAGAGATGATATCAATCGAGTGGGTGGATATATATATTTATCTGTTGCAGAATGATTACAAGATTCGTTAAAGGAACTGAATAGCAAAGAAAAAAAACGGATCAGATTGCCAGTAAGAAACAAAATCTTAAATAAGCTTCAAAACCATTGCTACCAACAGAGCTCACTATACTGTGTTATTTTGGAGAGAAGTGGGCAGGAAAAATACTTGATGAGAGGAGCTCCAACACAAGCACCTCTTGCTCAAAAACATTGGATACGTACAATATGTCGGAGGTGGGAAGATATATCTTCACTAACAAGAGAGGTGTGGAAGGCTGAGATTCAATATCAACTGTACTCAGTTTTCTCACAAACATCTTCATCCTGGACTATAGTTCCAAATATTCTTCGTAGGATCTCAATAGGATGCGTTGTTTGTAGAGGATGTAGGTAGGCAAAAAGTTTGATAAAATAGTATAGGGCCCAGCACAAAAATCTTTTGTTTATAGGCATAGTGAGGAAATCAATGTGTAGGAGGTGATAAAAGTGTGTGAAGCATTGGGAAGGCTGTATTTCGGTATGATGTGTTTTTGTTTACGGGAGCAAAATATTTGATGGAAGATGCTGTTCAGGCTCGTAGAAATAGAAAAGGAATCGATTTGAGGTTTCGGGATGAGAGGATGATGATGAGGGTAATGAAGCATTTGAATGATAGAGATTCAGTATTTTTTGGTAGAGTAATGGTAGTAAAGGAAGAGATGCTACAGTACAGGTTCATGGAAATATAAGAGTCTCCCCGTCATGAAATATTCAGGAACGAGAATACCCAAACAGCGCCGGTGGCTCTCTGAAGTGTCGCGCGTATGTACATGACGTCAGAATTAGATTAGATTGTCTCCATTCATCGAAAAATATAAGGTTCATTCAGGACGAGTTAGGTTAGATTGTTTAGAATGAGTAGTCTATTTTCTTATGCAAATAGGATATTTTCCGAAAACTTTCTAGGATGAATTAGCTTAGTTTTTTTCAGAAAAAGGAGTCTACTTTTTAGGTAGGTTCATTTAAGCCAAGTTAAGTTAGATTTTCAGATTGTTTGGAGAAAGCAAAAACAGTAATCTTCTTCCTTATGTAAATAGGATATTTTTTGAAAAACATACAGGATGTCCCAGAATAACGTTCGTATACTCCAGAGGGTGATTCTGCAGATGAAAATATAAAAAAATGTTTTTATCAAAGTGTCCGAAAATGCTCCTCAAGGGCGCTAATGCCCTTTGAATGTAGGTCCTTGGGTGCAGTTTTCTTCAATTATCTTTGTTGCCATTGATCCTAGAATCACGAGATCGTGTACCTACCTTAGGGTCATTCGATCTCACAAATCGTTTCGTAATACAGAAAAAAATGATTCAATATACAGAGAGGTGCGAAACTCGTAACAGATCCTATAAAAATGCCCCAAATATTCTTTGTTTCCAGATGTATATTATTTCTTCTAACAGGATATGATTCTTCAAAAACTCTAACATGAAACAGATTTTCTTGTTAGAATGCCGTTAAACTGACAGTTTTCCAGGAAAGGATAATTTTTCATTATGATGCCAAAAAACATTCACCTATAGTGTAAAATTTAGTCAATGTCCAAATCACATCACGATTAACTCTAGTGAAACAAAACTAACCAAAAATGCACAATTCCGATTATCAAACAAACTATTTTATCTTAAGTGCACAAGACGCTTGGAAATTGACACTTTTCTCGAAAACGGTTCGTTTTACGGCATTCTAAGAAGAATAAGAAGAATACCTTCTTCATGTTTAAGTGTTTGAAAAATCATCATCATCAAACAAGTCTCAAATCGACAAATAACGAAGAAATCTAATTAATTCATTGGTCCAGACTGCATCCCACTAATATTTCCAAGAATATTATTATAGAACAGTCACGAAAGCTTCCCCTTGTTAAATATATATATTTCAATATATCTATGAATATTCAATATAAAGTTAATCCGACTAGCCTGACCCACTATACACCTCAACCATGATTTCATTGTCTTACTTAAGTGTATAGAAAATGATCTTTCAGCACAGATTTTATCTGCAGGAGTGTATAAATTGTGGGAAATATTTCGATACTGCAATTCTGTGAAGTATCTAAGGCTGTTTCTTTGGGTAAATTATTATAGGTTTATTTTTGGTTTCTTCCCATCCATTTTTCCAAAGATCTATTTCTGGTAGCAACAAATCTGACTAAAATGTTTGGGAGAGAATTCATTTCTAAATTCACTAACATATTCAGAAACTTGTTTTACTAGAATCTTTGAATCACTGGTATAGAACATAATCAGGCATCAACCTGTTGATATATGACATTTTGAATCCATTATCAATTATTGTTTCTAAGTCTTTTACTGTTTTATTATTTTTGTGCTTTCAGAGGGGGGTACTGTCCCCCAGTACCCCCCCCCCCTTATCTACGCTGGTGGTTCGACGAGAATTACATTTAGAATGTCAAATGCCAGACTTTTGCAATCTATTACCTTTTGATTCAAATCTGTTACCTTTTTCCAAGGAAATCTGGTACGAAAAAATTAAACCAAGGAACATAGATTAACGACTCCCCCGTTAATCTATGAGAGTCCCTTTGCCATATACCTACTAAAGTACTCACCAACATCTTTATCTTGGGCTAGCCCCAAATATCCCTCGTAGGATCGCAATGCTCCATGCTCTTTGGCGAACTTTTCGGCGTTGCTTTTCGATCTAGCTGCGATAGCGACTATTTGGTGATCAGAGGGAGGTAAAGTTTGAACTGCGGTGACGAAATCATGCGAAATCCTACCAGCACCAGCGACACCCCATTTCAGAGCCATTATTTTCCAGAGCCAAGCTCTAAATTCTTCGAAAGTTTCTACCGAACTACAGCGATAAAATACATGTGAAATTAATGTTGATCTAGAACGTAACGAGCGTTAACACATTGGCGTGCCTCTAGGTTTGATTTGAGAATAACGGAAAATATTGTTCTTCTGCAACCGACACAAAAAGCCGTCCACTTTAATAACAAAATTAGCTCTTGAATTGACGTTTCTATTACTGACACAAAAATAGGTATGTTCCTAGGCAACATATATTTAGTTCCTATAGGAGCTAAAGTTGAACTTTAGTTCCTAGGAGCTTAAGTTCAACTTCAGCTCCTAGGAACTAAAAAGGATGTACTAAACGTAATCAAGAATAAACAACTTCGTTCTGGTTGGTTATTTGGGTTGGGACGCATACGACCTGATTTGTTTCCGATTTCGGCAGATTTGACATTTCATACCCATGCTGGAGATATAAATACACCTTATTATAGTTAAGTATAGGAATTATGAACATCTCACTTGTGAATTTTTGTTTGGATCAGGGAAACCTTCAAGATTCACATACTTGCTTGATCTGTATTTCATTCGTTATTCTCGGGATGGATAACTTGTTTTTGAATAATCACGGCAAGCAATAGTTTTTTGTCTCAAACAACGATATTATTCACCTCTATTTGATTATCAAGTCAAACATAGTGTAGTATGGAGAGGAATAAATGATCGCTATTAGCTATTATTATTGTTGATATGCTCACTAACCTAACATTCTCCACGTCTTGATCCTATACCTGGCACTGGCGCGGTATTTGCCATTAGAGCACCTGATCCATACATGCACAAATATGTCACTCTGTGTTTGTATTCATATTGAAACTAAAATTCGAACATCCTTGAAAATCAAATAAACCTGCTGTTAATGCATGTAGCTCACCACACGGATTTTGCATTGATTCTGATTTTGCGATCCTAATGATCTACTATTTTTCTTAGAATAGAATAGAATAGAATAGACTAGAATAGAATAGAATAGTTTATTCATCCAAAAGACCATTATAAAATGATATAGGAAAAGTCAATTCACAAAATGGTTACATGTATAGTGGTAAATATAGACATTCATGAATATTACAGAACAAAGTATTTATAACAGATTAGTACAGACATTTACATTACTAAACTAAAATAGAAATATACATATAAAACAAGGAATACATTGATTCAAATTCTGAGGATTGTGTACATGGTTTGAAGTTGATGAAGTCGTCACACGAGTAGAAACCTTGACTGCTGAGAAATTCTTTCGTTTTCTGTTTCACTTCATTCGCATTTGGCAGTGACTTGATCTCAATGGGCAGACAATTGAAGAACTTTGACCCTATATAAATGGGTGACTTTTCGAAAAGTTTCGTTTTGTGCTTGATCATTTTTAGTAGATTCCCATTTCTCGTAGGATATCTGTGTTGTTCACCATTAGTTATAATTGAAGCTTCATGTTTTTTCATATAAGTAATCAAGCTGTGGATGTATAATATGCATGGTAGAGTGAGTAACCTGTTATTTTTGAAGTAGGGTTTACAAGAATCGGTTCTTTTCAGATTGAATATCAGCCGCATAATTCTCTTTTGTGCAACAAATCAACAAATACCCTATTTATATTACTGCTGGCTCCCCATAGTATTATATTATACTTTAGTACCGAGTGCACCATACGTATCAGCGATTTTTCGTCTAGGACACTTTTCACTTGTAGTATAGCGTTATAATGTTCGAAAACATCGTGCGTACCTTGGGAGGATAGGGAGAGGAGGTGGGTATTTGGATCGTTATTTAACTCTCGAAAATTATGAGTTCTTGGGAATATTTCCATTGGCAAAGAATTTCAAAGCATTGCCGAATTTTGGAAAAGTGTTGTTCGACATATTTCAAGGTTGACAACGAAAGGATGTGCTGACTGGGCATGTCGAGTTTGTCTGACTGGTATTGTAAGTGTTGGAATGATAGCAGATATTTCTGAAGAACACCTCCCGTGGAAATATCTATAGAAGAGTGAAGTATCTCAGTTTCTTGTTGGGATATATTTTTGTCTGGATAATGTTTTGTGATTTTGTCCATTTGGATGAGTTTTACATCCTGTTGAAAAAATGCCCTATGGTTGAGATACCTTGTATATAGGAATCGAATCATAATTTATTAGCCTATCATTCGATACGAAAGTCTTGGGTTTTCAATGAAAAATAAATTAATGTGCCTATTCAAATCATTTCATGAGCTTCTAGTCCTAAAGAATATGAAATAGGTACGCCACTGACCATAGTCGTTTATTTTCATTTGTTTTCAAGTCTGGATTGCCAGTTAATCGAGATAGCATTATAGCAAGCAAAAACACTTCAAGTTCACAATGACAATAAGATATTTGTTATTGGATTTGAAACGATATTACGACAATAACGATGAAAATAGTTTATTTGGAATTGTGATATAATAGTACATTTTACACCTAGGGAATAAAGTGGTATTTTAAATCCCCAGACAGAAAGTTTATATAATTTGTCGAGGGATTTAAAAACTATTCCTCTACTAGTCTCGAGGTGTATATACTTTATGCACTTCAGGGTACGTACAAGGTTAGAGAAAAAAATAACGAAAAAAAATGTAAATGCTACTAAACGCTAGTTACTCTATCTCTAAAACATCATCGAAGGGGCTGGTTGTTACCATATCAACGACCTACAGGTCAGAAAAAAAAAGAAAAAAATGTTTTGCTCAAACGCTAAGGTGACGACCACATTGCAATTTTACTCTGATTCAATTATCGCATCCTGTAGAAATTTCATCTAGAACCACTGAGGTTTCATATTGTCACGACAGACTGTTTAAAGATCAGGCTAATCATCGGTGAAAACCGATTCTAAATTGGTTTGGAAATTCGTGAGTTATTCTACTTTGAATTCAGGTTATATTTTGAACCACGACGTTATCAATGTTGACGAGTAAATTTGGCGACACCATCTGATAATGACCAGATCGGCCCGAAATATTTCGGCGAATATCAGCGTACAGAACGTGGATATTCTCCAGACTCAGTTCGTTTAGAACAGTGGTTCTCAAAAATGAAAATTAATGGATCACTGTTCTATCTATGAATAGAACATGCATCTGTTCACAATCAACATTATTTCAATCTTTAGGCAAAAATTCAACATAACTGAGACAGAATATATCTTTTTTATATTTTGTTATACTCCTCAATACTTGGTTCAGTCCTATCAAAACGCATATCGGCAGTAGCATCCAACCGATTTCGGTGCTTGTTTTAATGATTAGAAGTGCCTAATAAAACCCCTGCTTGCATAGATATGTCGATGAAAACTAAGGTAGGTATCGAATTGCAATTTCCCAAATCTATGCAAAAGAAATTTCTTTTTGGCTCTAGAAATCATCAAAATCAATTCCTGCTTCGAATGCATTTTTCAAGTTACTATCGGTTTGCATTTCAATCACTTCTTCTTCATTCTATCAGGCGCTCAAAAACATTGACAACTCCCGATTACCTTTGTTATCGCAGTCAGGAAAATAACGATCGAATTCTTTTTTCAAATTTGCCTCTCTTGATCTCAGCACACTCTCCTTCAATAATTTGATTCAGCTTATCAAACGTAGAAAAAAAATCTCTTTCGACTGTCATGATCCATAGTTCGATTTCAGTGATAAATGCAGCAATTTTATCTTCACATGCAAATATACTGCACATGTCATGCAACTTCAAAATTCCTGACCCTTGCAGTTGCAGATTCAATTTATAGAGTTGTTCGATCTACCAATTAAGAGAGTCGTCCGCTTGTCACTAATTCAATGTTTTTTCGATGGCTTCGCGGACCCCTTTGGGTTCTTCCAGGGTCCATCAGTGATCCGCGGACCACCGGTTAAGAACCACTGGTTTAGAAGTTTCGTCCATGTGTGGTTTGTCTGAAGAACATTTTCGTAAATTTTCGTTCCGATATATTGTCACGAGTAGAACATACGGTATATCAGTAATTTCGAACCATGAGAGTTTTATAAACATAAAGTAAATCAAATCATCCGTTGGCATTGAATAATAAAAACTGACCAAGGAACTCTCATGAGAAACGTTGTATATGTGAGGGTTCCGAAGTTAGTCTGGTCTAGGTATACTCTTGACTTGACAAGAGCTCGTCGTGATGGTCGTTATAATGTAAGTTGTTATTAGGTCTTCATATTCATTGTTGTTTATTCATATTTTGCCATAATGTTTCATTCTGCAATTAATATTGTTATGTTTGAATATAATCTCATACTTCCAGATACCCCCAAACTATTAGTGCCTATTCGAATATTACCTCTAGCAAACCAATAAGCCAAGCTAACCCCTTATAAATCGATATGTATAGACTAACCATCTCTATTTTATCGTAACATGGTAGAATCACCCATTTTATCGAGACATGGTTATTAATTAATATTAATCTACTTTATTGTGACATGGTGGAGGCGCCAATGGCACGTTCCCGAGGTTGGTTCTTCATAACCAACCTCACATTTCCAAATCTCATGTTCTTTTGTTTTTTCAATTAGACTATTTTTATTTCATTGAAGTCAAACAAATATTTTAGTAAGACAGTTTTCATCATTTTCATTATTGAATATAAAAATGTGTTTTTATATGGGGCATCTGGCCAGGATTTGCGAACGGTCCAGCATGCTAAAACTGGACTGCCTCGGTTTGATCTCCAAATGGGGCGTTCCTGGTAGTGCACACAGATAGGCATGCTAAAACCATCTGTACCCATACAGAAACTAAGTAAAACATATTAATTCATTTTTAACAAAAACAACTCTTTTGTTGTGACAATATTTCAATCTTCTCGTAGGGTGTTTGCGGCAAAATCAAAATAAAAAATGGACTTTTTTATTGCTATGATTTTAGAGGAAGAATATGATGACGATGATGAGTATGCGTTATTAGGAGTATGTATTAAAAATAATAGCCTTATTAGGAGTATGTACTAAAAATAATAAAGTTTTGAACATATTTGAGGAAAGGGCCAAATAAGGTG